ACAAAATTGTCAGATAAGAAAATAGATGATGTTCACCTAGCTTCCAACAGCCAAGGGCAGCAAGGTACTGGTTCACAGTGACATTTTTGTTATGCAAATTGTTTAATGCAGCTCACTTTTGAAAAATTACACTGACATTCATGGCTAACATTTGGCCTGGTGAAATGAAGTAGGTATTAACTCATTTAGTTAAAGTATTCAAAAAATAAAAGGTAAATAGACCCTTTTCATGAATTCAAAATGAAAAGGGGGTCTATAGTCATTAATTTAAGGCAATATGCTTGCATTTATTTTTAATAATACTTCACTGATTCAAATAAGATCTGGTTTTTAAAAAATCAATTGCTATAATTTGTTCACCAAACTCTTGGAAAGGGTTTTTCCTTTCCTTTGGTTTTGGAGCTGCTCCTCCTCACTCAACTCCTCTGCCTCCTCCCCTTCTTCTCTCCCTAGTTTGCCATGTGGGTGGACGCTGTCATATTTGTCTTCAGCTTGGAGGATGAAATCAGCTTCCAGACAGTTTACCACTACTACAGTCGGATGGCCAGCTACCGGAGCACGAGCGAGATCCCGCTGGTGCTGGTGGGAACCCAGGGTAAGTGGCGTCGGCGCACAGATCGTGGTTAAAGCATTGGGGCAGTGGCCCTGGCCGCTGTGGCTCAGTTGGCTGAGCATGGTCCCATGTACCAAAAGGTCACAGTTTCGGCTCCTGGTCAAGGCACATGCCTAGGTTGTGTGTTTGATCCCCAGTAGGGGCATGCAGGAGGCAGCTGATCGATGTTTCTCTCTCTTACGCTCCCACTCTCTCTAAAATCAATAAAAACATATTTTTTAAAAATAAGGATTTTAGCAGTGGAGCAGTGAGTGTATTCATGGTCTGTGTGTTTGGTGTGGAGCAACTTCAAAGCGGTTTAAAGAAGAAATAATTTCCTGCTGAAGGCTCACTTTTTACAGCTTCATGGAGAGCACACCCGACCCCTGCTCTTTTTTTTTTTTTAAGCATATTTTTAAATGGCAAGTGGTCGAATATGCAAATTCTTCAGGGGGGAAAATTCAACCTACAACCAACTAGGAGAGAGGTTCTTTATGCGTAGAGCGCCCTCTAGTGGTCAACAGGAAACAGGGCATGCCGGTTAAAAGTCCTTGGTCTGTTATGTGCAGAATTGGCATATTTGAGTTGATGGCTTGACAATTCTTAATGTTTTAGGGTAAGTAGCTCATCTAAAGCAGATCCTGCTTAAAGCTTCTTAAAGATGAAGCGATTCATTTCCAATAAGCGCCCCTTCCTGCAGCCTGCCCAGGGTATTTCTGAGCAAAGTCAGGTCTGTGGGCGTCTCCTCACCAGCTGCCTGAGTTCAGGGGATCGAGTTGAGGACTCACGTGCCTTTTTGCTGGAGGCTCACTAGGACAGGGAGTGGGTGAGCTTTCAATGGGGCCAAAGGTGCTATCTGAGTGGTGCGTTACCTTACACATCAGTGTTCACGGGGTCAGGGGCAGAGGGGAGAGTCTGAGCCCCAGCATCTGGACCCCTCAGGTCTGGAGGTGGGGGATGGGGAAGGTGAGTTAAGTTCCTTCCTTAAGGGCTGCTGTGGGGCTCAGCCGGCGTGGGAGGAGGCTGGAGAATGGGTCCTCTCTCCGGGACAGTCGGGGCATGTGGACCTCATTTCTGGATGAGGTGATTGTGACGTTTGCTAAGCAGGTCTTTTTTCAAGGCTTGCAGATTAAATTGGTCTGAGGGAGAAGCAGGAGCTATAGAAAGATGCAGTTACAAATGTGTGGAAACAGGAGAGCATCGCGCTGCAGTGTTGAGGGCAGGGTGGCCAGGCCCCTTTCTGTTGGTGACAGCACATCTCAGAAGACGAGTGGGGACAAAAAGGAGTTCCCTGACCTCCTCACCCCACCCCGTCCCACTCAGCCCCCAGCAGCGCCCTGCATTTGTCTCATTCCTCATCTTTATTGTTTTCTCCTCCCTCCCCAGCCGACTTGGATACCCCCCTGGGAGTGTGGGGTTTTGCCTGCTGTGTAAACTGGGGCATCTGTGCCTGGAACCGGATCAGACTCCCACGGAGGCTGTGAGCGTGGCGCTGGTGGGCACCGAGGGACCTGCTGGTGTGCAGGATGCTTTCAGCACGTGCTTTGTGCATCAGCAGGGCACGTGCAGACAGCAACCCTGGAGCTCTCCCTGTTTCAGATCTTTTCCTCTGGGGCCACATTTAACTCCCACTCCTTCTCCTGGTCTTTCTGGGCAGTCCTTTATTCCATTCAGAAGCAGGATCTCCAGAAACAGACTTCTGCTAGTGACGACTAGTCTAGCGTGTGAGATGATGATTGTGGGGGTAGACTATTTTAAAACCTCCAGGTTTGGAAAAGGATCCTGTCCCTACAGGGAAGGTGCAGGTTTTGGCTACTCTGTGATCTTAGGTTGTGGCAGGAATTGCAGCCGCGTGTGGTCACCGTGTCGCCTATGCATTTGTCTGTTCCAGACGCCATCAGTTCCACCAACCCGCGGGTCATCGACGACTCCCGGGCACGGAAGCTCTCCAGCGACCTGAAGCGGTGCACATACTACGAGACGTGTGCCACGTACGGCCTGAACGTGGAGAGGGTCTTTCAGGACGGTGAGTGCCCGCCGTGCACACAGCGCCGCTTCCCACACAGCAGGCCCGCGTCCAAGCGGGGCAGAGTCCTCTGACGTGTGGGCCCTGGGGGCGAGTCTGAGCTCCGCATTCCAGGGGCGATGCCAGTTGTGTGCCGCTCCAAATGGCACCTTCGTTTGATGGGACAAAACCCCTCCTCTGACCTCTGAAGCAACCCCACAGCCGATTCTGTGTCACATCACGGGGCCGCGTTGTGTTCCGGATGAAACGCTTCTCGAACTATTTGTGCACACGGTGGTCACAGTTACACGTGGCACCGTTCTTCTGCACCGCGGTTCACAGTCCCAATTCATGCCCATCTCTCTAAAAGGTTTAGATTCTTCATGTTAGTCTTTGAGGAGAATAAGCTGAGAGAAATAAGAGTCCAGTTTGGGCAAAAAAACAGAAACAAAAACACACACTCAGACTCAGGGTGGGGCTGCATGAAGCTTAGGAATGGTCTCTCTGTGACTGGGTTCATTGTCGAACTCCTGCCTTCAGGGACGGCCACAGGTCAGAGAGGACGTTGTCCTGCGGGAGGGAGCGTTTTCCTGTGGGAGGGAGCGTGCCATACCCGAGGGGGTGTAATGCCACTTGTGAGGTGGGAGAGGGGGCGGATGGCAGGAGGGAAGGGTGGTCTATAGTCTGGAGGGTTCTAGAAGGTCGGGGGTAAGGTGACTGACTCATGGTTGAAGACCTGGGAGAGAGATGTTCTCATCATCTGTCTCATATCTCCTCCCTCTCCTCTCCTCCCGTTTTAATATTGATTTTCGAGAGCGGAAGGGAGAGGGATAGGAAACATCCATTGATGAGAGAGAATCATTGATCAGCTGCCTCTTGCACGCCTCCTACTG